TGGAGGCTCAGGGGGCCTAGGGTTCCTGTGATGGGGGCTCAGGGGGTCTGGGGTCCCCGTGGTGGGGCTCAGGGGATTTGGGGTTCCTGTGGTGGGAGCTCAGGGGTTCTGGGGAGCGCCTGCCAGCGCAGCTGGAGCACTGGGGGGAGGCGGTGGGGTGGGATGGAGGGGCTCGGTACTTTTCTCAGAGGGCACAGGCAGCCCCGTCTCAGCTCCCTTGGTGAGCCGGGGAGCTCTGACCAGGGCTGTCCCTGCAGGAGCCCAGGGGGGCTGCGTGGCCCGGGCTCTGCTAGAAGACGGGACCTTCAAGGTCCGCGCGGTGACGCGGAACCCCGCGAAGAAGGAGGCCAAGGAGCTGAAGCAGAGGGGAGCTGAGGTGGTGAAGGCGGATCAGGACGATGAGCCATCGCTGGAGCTGGCCTTGGCGGGTGCTTACGGAGCCTTTGTTGTAACCAACTTCTGGGAGCACTGCAGCAAAGAGAAAGAAATCGCACAGGTACCAGAACTTGCTTGCGCTGGGACTGCGTGTGGAATGGCCTGGGAGAGGGGAGGGATTCAAGGGACAGCTGTGTGGCATCGGTATGGGGGTCGTGGGATGGTTCTTAGTGTGGTCTTGTCAGCCCTGACAGTTAAGGTGGCCAGTCCAGGAGAGTCCTGAGGCCTCAAAAACAAAGTCCCAGTTCTCGCAAAGCCAGAACTTGTTTCCTGTTCTCTCATGGTCACTTGAAGCCGGGATCTGGTGCTTTCAGAAAGCTGTTAAATGCCATCAGACTTGGTGTAATGGAGAGTGCTGCACAGGAGTCGGAGCAGCAGAAGTGGGAAGACTCAGCTCCATGAAACCCTCCCGGGACTGAGCCAGGACTGTTGCTGCCTGCTGTCCCGTAGTTCTCTGCACTTGCAGCTTTGGGCCCAAAACGTGCTGCCATGACAGAAACCCCAGAGCCTTCTCCAAGGGTGGTGTTCGACTCCAGGCAGATTTCATAAGGTGGCACGCCTGGATGGCAGCAAACAAAAGATAAGATACATTAGGTCGGGTGTGTTCACCCTGGCAGATCTTTAGGGCTTGTGTTTGCATGCCTTAGGGAGGAGCTAGCACCAAGCCTGGAGGGTGTGTGGTCTTTCTAATGTAGGATGTTGTAAGTGGAGGACTCTGCTCCACCTGGGCAGCTCACTGGGCTTGCTAGGCCTGCTCAGCCCTGGTTCCAGCTGAGGGCTTGGGGTGCTGGATGCTGAGGGGCTTGCTCAGCTGGCATGTGTTGGGGAAGGAGGAGATGTGGGGGTGGTGAGAGCCCCTGTGTGTCCCATTTCCTCTTCATGGCCAGCTTCACCCTTCACCCAGGGAAAGCGGCTCGCTGACCTGTCGAAGCGCCTCGGTCTGCGCCACGTTGTGTACAGCGGCCTGGAGAATGTGAAGCGGCTGACGGGGGGCCAGCTGGAGGTGCTCCACTTCGATGGCAAAGGTGTAGTGGAGGAGTACTTCCAGGAAGTCAGTGTTCCCACCACAACCATCCGAGTGCCTTTCTACTTCGAGAACTTCCTCTCCATCTTCAAGCCGCAGAAGGTCCCGCAGGGAGACACCTTTGTCCTGGGTAAAACTGGGCTTCTTGGCTCTTCCTCACCTTGTGTTTAGAGGGTGGGTGCCGAAAACTCCAGCTGTGCTATACTGTGACGGGGATCCATCTCTCCTGTACAGAGCTGCCCATGGGGGACACCCCCATGGATGGGATGGCGGTGGAGGACATCAGGCCTGTTGTGCTTTGCCTGCTGAAGTCCCCAGAGGAGTACATAGGCCAAACGATTGGGCTCAGCACCGGCAAGCTCACTGAAGCAGAATATGCTGCTGTCCTCTCCCAGCAGACAGGCAAGACGGTGAAACCCAGCAAGGTAGGAAGCGTCCCTGGGTGCATGTGATGTCCTTGAGGTGTGGGGATGGTGTCTTGGGGTCCTTGAAGTGGTGCTTGTGCATTCCCAGCAGCCAGATCTCAGCCCAGCCTAGGCTGCTGCTGGTCAGGAATAGTTGGGGGTCCTCTGCAGGGGCTGAACTTGTTCAGGAGTGGAAAACCAAGTGCTGTCCTGCTCTGGTAGCAAGGTCAGGAGCTGCCAGACTGGGGTCTGGTAGCTCAGCGTACGGGTTTGATAGAAGCCAGTGCTGATGCCCAGGGTTACTCTCACCGACGCTGCATGCGGTTGGAGCGCACGGTGGCACTGAAACTGCCTCGTCAGTATTGTCACCAAGTAACACTCCCTGAGCACACAAGCACCTGGCTCCGAGGGAGAATTGAAGCGGAAGATCTCTGGAGGTCTTGAGCATTCACAAGCAGGGCCGGGCACTTCCAGAACAGGTTTCTGCTGTGTGCCCCTCGCTTCAGCACACCTTCCCTGGGGCCGTGCTGTGTCACCATTACAGAGCTCCTGGCTCTCCCTGCCCTGGGACTCCTTTTTTATTTTGTTTGTGCTTCAGCCACGCTTCTCTCAGGCAGCTGATACAAAGGGTGCAGCAGCTCTCTCCCTGCTTTGAGAACAGATTTCAGCAGAAACCAAAGCACCTTGGATGCCCTCTGCAGGTTCTGCTCTCCCAGGGACAAAAAAAGGGACTCTTTTCTTCCTGGCAGAGCTTCATCCTGCCTCCCGCCAGCGTACTCTAACACAGCCCTCTTCAGCATCCGTGCGCAGTCCGAGGGAACTGACTCTGCCCTGTGACAACATTATTTATTTTAACAAGCCCCCAAATTTTTTTTTTTGCAGATTTCACCAGAGGAGTACAAGAAACATGACTTCCCCGGGGCCAAGGAACTGGCCGCCATGTTCCAGTTCTACACCCTGAAGCCCGACCGCAACGTGGACCTGACCATGAAGCTCAACCCCAAGGCCCGCACCTTCCCGCAGTGGGTGGCTGACAACAAAGCCGCCTTCTGACCCACCTCTCCCTCCTCTTCCACCCGTGCCTTTGCAAAAGGCCAACTCGGGGAAGAGCTTTGGTCCATGCCAGCACTCCAGCGCTCTCCTGCCACTCAGCTGAGGCTGGTTTTAGAGGAACGCAGCTCCAACGACAGGAAAGGCTGTACCGGCTGCAGGCAGGTGGGAGAAGTGCTCCCTTTGCACACTGTCTTTAGGGAGGTGTTTGTTTGGTGATTGCGGGTGTTTTCACAGGTGTAGGGTGGGGGCAGGTTGTTCTCTCAGGATCACCCTTTTTCCCAGGTGGCTGAGCTGAAAGTGTAGTACTCGAGGGTCCCGACGGGCAGTGCCTTCTCCATCCTCTCTTTGTCCGAGAGAAGAGCTTCCTTCTGTCACCGGGGGCGAGGGAGCGGAGGTGACAGACAAGGGGGTAGAAGAGTAGACAAGGCAGCAAGGCACAGCACGTGTTAAATATCTTTATGAAGTCAATCTTATTTACATGGATATAGAATCACTTTACAGACAGCTTAATCAAGAGGCAACGCGTGCTTTATTTCAGCAAATTAAGAAGGGCAAGACTATCACACGTCCTCATTTAACTGGTCGATTAGTATGTGGGCCGACGGTACCTGCGCAGTGTGACTAACAACAGCGGGCTACCGAACCATGAAAATACTCACTGCAAGAGCTCAACTCCACCTGCCAGGACCGATCCACTTCACTTGACTCTCACACACGTAGGAACAATGACTCTGACCAATCAATTATGCTATGGGTGTTGCGCTAATGTAATAAAATACTTTAGTTCCAAACTGGCAAAGGGCCCGGTGATGAACTTATACCCATTCAGAAGCAACAGCATTTGTGTTGTGACTTTAGTTAATCTGAGGGGATGGGAAAGGGAAACCTGAGGCAAAGTGCAGATTCCAGTGCTGCTCTTTGTGCAGGAATATCAGCAGGACTAAGGGAAAAAAAACCCCAACCCTGGCAGCTGAGGAAGCCAGGGCAGCTGGGCTTTGGCAAGCCCCAGCCCCAGGGAGATGTGCAGGACAGGTAGGAAGCTGTCGTGAAGACAGGGTTAAACCTCACGGACCCACCGAGTGTCCTGGGAGAAGACAAGCAGTGACACACAGAGCACACCTACATTCAGAAGGGCACCTGAGGGAGCAGCGGCTTTCTTGGACTCCATAGAGCAAACTGCTCCACTCCATGCCGGAAGGACAATTTTTATTTCACGTTTCCACTCTTTTTGGATTTTAAATAATATTTCAACTTTAATTTCTACCAAATAAGCTTCCAGAGCAACCTCGAGAGCACGCCGCATTTCTGCCAAGCTGGCATTTTCCTTCATTACCGTTTCCTAGGATGGTGGGTGGGTTTTGTCTCCTGATGATGGTTGGTGCCTCAGTGGTCTGTAGCCTCTCCAGCTGGGATTCTCACTGTGCTGCTGCTCGCTGGCATCCTTCGCTCTCCGGAGCCCACTGCCAGAAGGATTCATTCCTGACTGCAAAGACGATCTGCTGCCATTGGCTCTTAGTTCCCAGTAGAACGCTTCCCTGCAGTTGAAGCAAGAGAGAAATTTAATGTTTCCTCACAGGATCAGTCAGAGGGACGAAAAAAGTGCCTCAAATCTGAGACCCCAGTGTTTGCTGTAGGTTGAGTCTCAGCGTTCCTTCGCAGCAGGCCAGCACTAACTAAACAGCACCCAGAGTCACAACACTGCGCTCTTCTGTGTCATGGCTTCGCTGTGCTTTACAACAAAAAGCGATTCCTTCCTGGTGCTGGTGGTAGGGGCAAATCCACCCTGAGCATACTGGGCCTGGTAAGCCCAGGCTGTGCCGTGGCAACAGAACTGCCCAGTCCCAATTTTACCAGCTAATGAGACTGTCCCCAGTGCTCTCAATGGGCTACAGCCACTGAGTGGATAAAGAAGCAGAGCTGCAGGGGAGGCCAGCAACTGCCCTGAATGTATCCAGCATTTCTGCTGGGTTTTTTGCTGCAGCAACAATGCAATTTAGTCCCTGGCTTTTTGCTCCAGGTCACAGGGGACAGCTAGGGCTTTTCACAGGAAGGCCTGAGGCTAAGTGAGAAGCAACGCTGCGCTTTCACTGCTTCTACCTCCCAAGAAGTGCCAATTCTGCTTATTGGGGAGCAAGGGAAAGACAACAATTAAACACAAGAGGCCTCCTACCTCAGATGGGCTGTCAGGAGCTAAACATTTTCTTAAGTTTGGAAAGGAATCCCTCCTTGTTCTCAGCCTCAGGCCTATCCCCGCCTGCATCAGCGCTAGCCGTGGCCCTGCCACCTGGACACAAACAGCAAAGGGCTGCAGTCAGACACATCTACCGCCAGGAGCCCTGACGAAGCGAGAGGGTTATTTCGGATGGGGAAGTCGAGGCAGCTGGTTTTGCCTGCACCCTCTACTGCAGTACCAGCGGTGAAAGCAGGGAAAGCCCAGAACCCGGAAGGGGAAAACATGATCGCAAGCCCAGGTAACGCCACTCCCTTCCCCTCTCCCCAGCCCTCCGACCGGCGAGGGAATTCTGGTGCTGCACAGTCGAGGGTGCCACAGGCTAGGAATTGAGAGCCTGCTGCTAAAAACAAGGGGTCAGCTTGACCACAGCCAGCCATGACTTTACAGAAGGAAAAAAGAAAAAAAGAAATAAAAAGCTGTACTGGTGGTCCCTGGAACAATCTTCCTGTCTTGGGGTCATGTCATGACTCTTTAGAGCAAAGCAGTGCAAAACCATCGCAGGAGCCTGCCTCACGTAATTATTGTGCGATGTATCAAGGAGGAAATGAACTCAAGCTAGAATTGAAAAGGCTACAAATATTTCGGAATGAGCATCCAGGTAAGGAATCTTGCTGGCAGCAACAAGCATAATTTTCCTGTATAAATTGGTCCTGACAAGTTGTCTGTCCCTCCAGAAGTGGCTACAGCAAGAACAGAGGAGACCGCTTCGCTAATCTGCTTTTTCTACAATGAAACTGTCAGTAACAAGACCCCTGAATCCTCCTCGAGCTTTCTTAGGGCAGAGAACACAAAGTCCAGTCCTCCCTGTCCTGCCACAGCTGACTGCCGAGCTCAGACTGATGCAATGGTATGAAATACTGAGGCCGGTGGCAGAACACGCCTCCAACTGCGCAGGGTATTTCTGTTTCCCAGAGCAAGGACGGGCTTTCAGCCACAGCCTGTTTCTATACTGCAACCGGTGTGGTTTTAATCCCTCTTGCAGGTTTGCATTTAAAAAAAAAACAAACAACAAGTTTCGGGGCTTTTTTTTTTAACTTTGGCACACAAACGCCTTTAAAAAGCTGGAATGAAAAGTTTTGCTTAAGAGATCTCTTCCCCCCGAGACTGACTTTTAATGCCTGCCCTCAGCAGAAAAAACCTGACTTCTGCGTTAGGAAAGTGCTACAAAATACCACGTTGGTAAGTATTTGGCAGATACTGCCTTCCACTATCCCTCAAGCTCTGGCATGTGTAGCAGGAGGATCTGAGTTCGTGGGATCATACAGCAATTTTGAAGACTCTCACCTTTGTCTAACTGTACAGTCGTAAATGCCCTTTTTCAGTTTCAAGCACAAAAAGGAATCCACCCAGCTTTAAGCAGTTCATTGTTCCAGTATGAACTAAGAAACGTTTTCCAGTAGCGAAAAACAAACCTCTTGCCTGTTTTATTGTATGTTTTGCCTTTAGCTGCTCCTCATGCCAGGTACCTTGCCCCTGAAGCTTAAAATCAATCAAAATTTTTAACCTAGACCTGAAAGAGAAGCTTTACAAAGCTCCCAGCTCACTCTGCTCCCTCCATCCTACTGGACACTGTCTGCTGACCGGAGCCAACGCTCAGCAGCACCTGGGAACGTTTCCATCCCAGGTTCCCTGACATGCACAGAGGACGGCTTAGAACAGCCCTGACAGGGGAACTCCCCATCAGCTTTCAAGGAGAAATGTCCCCATCGCTCACCTGACGCTGTGTTTGTGACCCCGTTCACTGTGCCGTCCACGTCTGCCTCATCCTCGGCGTAGCTCATCATTAAGGCTCTCTGGCGATCCGTCAGCCTCCTGCAGAGACAGAGGTGGTGGTTACGGCCGTCTTTAGGGACGGATGCCCCTCCAGACCTCCTTAACCTGCTCCAGGAGCACCTGCGGGAGCCTGAATGCCACTGGAAGTACGCCTGGCATGCCCCGAGAATCCCCAAGGTGCTCTTGAAATGGACAATCTGTGAAGAATAAGGCCCAGTGGAAAGGGAGAGACACAACCCACCAAACTGCAGTGAAAAAACAGAATATTGGTGGCTGAGCAGCCTGAAAAGCAACTGCCAAGGACTTCAGTGCCTTTGAGCTGTAGGTCTGAGAGCAGAGACGTGTTATATGCCGGAACACTGAATTTATGTAACTGGGATCCAGACAGAACCGCAGATAACCAGGCAAATATGCAGGAGAGGAGCTACTTCTGTGTTACCAGGGTTTAGGATTTCTAGAGCTGGGTTGCCAAATGACATTATAAAAACACGGAAAAAGTCTCCTTCACATTAGAATAAAAAGCAGAATGAGAAATTAATCACCTTGATAGAGTGGTAGGGAATTTTCAAAGAATCTTCCACAACATTTTTTCTTTGCAAAAAAGTTCAAGATTTCACAGCAGCTTGCGTTAGCTCTACTTACTGAGGAACTTTTATCTTTATGTGAATGTAGTGGTCTCCATAGCCGTAACTGTTAACCTTGGGAATGCCTTTCCCGCTCATCCGAATTCTCTGGTCTGGCTGAATACCAGGCGGTATCTACGAACACACAAGTGTCACGTTTATTACTCCAGTTTAACCATTTATATACTAAGTACTATTATAAAAAGCAAGCTTCAAAGCAGGCTGGGAGAGATCTGGTACGTTTCACACATCTGGACACATGCAGAAGTCAAGCCAGTGCTGACAGAAAAGCTTCTGAAGGAACAAGTCAAGAACCTCGCGCAGCCCGCAAACCTTGGGTGGGATTTGCATCCCTGCGCAGCAGAGGAGGTCACAAACCACCCAAAGCTCAATCCTGAAGAAGGCTGAAACTGATACTGGCAGACTCAGGAGGTTTTGCACCACTTTTTCAGCCAGTGAGGAGTCTCCACTGTCCCATATCCATTTTATACCCAAGCCCTTCCACACAGTGGTACTTACTGTGATATTGATTGTCTCGTACAAGCCTTGACATCTGGCTGTGCCTCCCAGGACAGCCTGAGCTATTGAAATAAGGAGGTCTGAATGGATATCTGCTCCGTTTCTTCGGAACACAGAACTTTTTTGAACCTGAAAGGCAGGAAGTTCCAAAGAGAAGTGAGAACGCCACCACCAAGTCCTCACGGTGAACTGCTTTGAAGGTTCTCAGAAGCAAACATATCAGAATGCTGTAGTGAGACCCTTTAACCATCCAGAGATGTTAAAGGGCTAAGAAGCCCAAGTTCACGGATACCAGCTTCCTATCTCCAACTCCCTCCCCTGATCCTGTTGTTAACTGTATGATTCTGTGGTGATGGGCAAGATGCTGCCTGGCCCAGTGCCCTGAACAGGGGAAAGCCAGAAGAGAATTAAATCCTTCTGCATCACAAAAATGATGTTGAAAAAATATTTCCTCCTTGATAGAGCTGCGTATGACAGAAGGCGGCCCCAGCTACAAAAAACTTGCAAGGCAGCGCTTAACACATGTCCGCAAAAGGACACCGGCCCCTTCTCAGCGTTTCCACCCGTGCCAGCAGTCGGCTCCCTCACGCTTTCAAGCCAAAGGCTCAAGGCGTCAGGAATCTACTCTGCGTTGATGCACGCTACCGGCAGGGCCTCGTCCTGGAAGCAGCAGCGCGATTCTTCCCGAGCAGAGTTAACGTGACCCTGCTCGTCACAATGCGGAGCTCCTGCTCTCCTAAAGTTCACCCAGCTCGTGTTACCTCAGCTGTCTCAAAGGATCACTCGCTCTTCCTCCTCCGTCCCCCATTCAGTCGCTTCCCAGGCAGTTGCAAAGGGAACAAGCAACCGACTCAAACACTGAGAGCGGCCAGCACGGTGACAATACGTACCCTGAACGTAATGAAAATCTCTTTCTTCCCCACAGGCATCCGAACTGTCTGCCCATCCTCAACGCCTGCAATCAGACACAAAAAAATAAAAAAATTTAAAAAAAAAAAAAAGAGAAGGGATGTTACCTTGCACTATAATCCACCTTCAACTCTTGCTGGCCCCAAAAGCCGTCTGACCCAGCAGCACCCATGCACCCAGGACCTCTGGCCAAAGGAAGGAGGTGCCAGCACATGGGGACCACCATGTCCCCAAGCAGACTCATTACTTCAGTCCCCACAGAGTTCCTCAGGGAAACACATCAGATGCAGAAACACTAAACTGCAAGAAACTCACAAGCCGCTTGCCCAGGGTGGTGTCTTTAGCCCCACCACTCATTTGATGCTCTCTGGCGAGGCAGCCATCAGCACACCGCTCTGAGCCAAGCTGGGGCTCTTGACATTCCCGCCACCTCCTCAGGCTCCACCAAGGACAAATGAAAATCTCAAGGCAACAAAACCTTTTGAGTTTCACTCTCCAAAAGCTGCCTAGAAAGAATTGCTGCAAGGGCCGAGACCTCAGCTTGGGAAGGGCAAAGCAAAGGTTTTTATCTGCGTCCAAGAAAGTTTATCTTGCTGCTAGCCCTTTTGATTGACAAGCTCTGTTCTTCTAATTTCTCCACAGAAAAACTTGTCACGTTCATATCTGGCAGGGACCAGCCATGCTTCGCAGGCAAGCATCAGCAAATAACTGCAATTATTTAACAGCACACAAGCACGCCACTAACCAGCTGGCACGGGAACCATCACTGTCTTCTTCTGTTTGGTTTGCCCTGTTCCTCGACACACCACACACGGTGTCGTTATGATGGAACCACGACCGCCACACCGTCGGCACGTAGATCGCATGACGAAAGGGCCGGTATTTATCGTCTCCTAGTGAAAAAACACGGAGCGTACAAATATTTAGTAGCGAAATGGTGCTTCTAACTTCTGTGAAGCACTGCTGGTGGCTGGCTCAGCATGTCTGAGTCCTCCTAGTTGCACGCGGAACCTGGCAGCACAGTGATTCCCTTTAGCAAGGGATGGAGCAGGAATCCAAAGAGGATGCTGGGTCAGATTCAGTTGCCGTCGCGTTCCAATTTCCACTGAAAACCATCACTCCTGTGAGCACTTCAGGGTGAGGGGAAGGGAAACACAACCCTTCCCACCTCTAGGATTTAATGCGCAAGCAGGAAGTAAACAGCACTGTTTCACGTGGAACTACGAACATCTGCGTTTTGAGGAATCCAAAGACAATCCATTCACGTGAATTATTGCCAATGTCAGGGAAAAAGTTACAGAGACTAAGCTACGGCCTCAAGTGTGAAAGCCACCCACCAGGTTTGAAGCACGCAGGAAGAGCTTGAGTCTCCTCTGACCACCTACGAAAGATATTCCGCTCAGTCCGATCGCCAGCGCCCATTTTGGTGCATGGAAATGGAAAGCCTGAAGCTTGGTCATTACTTACTGTAAGTAAAATGCGCCTTCTTATTTCATGGTTACCCTTAGGCTATCAGCACCTTCCTTCTCCCTTCAATTCAAAGTATCCCATTTAATGCCCGAGTAACTTCAGAACCATTACGCTGTATAAATACATTTTATATAAATATGTACGATAACTGATGATCCAGCCCCAAAGGCTGGTGCTTTTACCTGGGTAGACCACTTCTTTAACAGAAAGAAAATCTTTCTGGCTTTTATCCAGTCCACATTAACTCGTCTCCACCCAAGAGAAGCTGATGACCACAGTGACAATTTTTCACTGTGGAAGAGGCCAGCTTGCCCCAACAAGGGAAAGCACAGCAGAACCGGTGTCTTTGAAAGCACTTACCATGCCGGTGCCGCTGCAGTAGTGACAGCGCTGCGCTTTGGTGCCAGGTTCGTGTCCTTTGCCACCGCACCGCTCACAGGAGTCGTTGATGTTCACCACAATCTCCTTGTTGACGCCTTTTGCAGCCTGGGTGAATGTCAGCTCCATGATGTACTGCATGGGAAACACGGGCACCGATCGATCTACAGCTGATGCGCGGCAGGAAATTAAGCAGACTGGAACTGATTTAGGCCAAATATCAAACACGGTTTAAAATACATCCAGGTAACAGCAAGGGGAAGAAACAATTGGACGGTCAACTCACTCAGAAGGCTTTGCCTCCTTTGAGAAAGCAAGAATCTATGTCGTATAAATGAAAAGGAGTACAGAAGGGCAGCAGGTATTACAGGGACAATGATTACGCCAGTCTGAATAGCAGTTACGCAGCAGAAATGTAACTTAAACATATTAAAGAAGCAAGTGAAAACAGAAGTCAAGCGTATTTCAGGAAAACTTAATACTTTTAAAGGCTTTGCTTAATCAGAACCTAGCGACAGGTGAGGGCAGAGGCTTTCAATCCCAGTTGGAGTATCTGCTCCTCCTCAGATCAACTCTACCTACCACAGCAAGTCATCAGCAAAGGTAACTGCACCAAATGGGAACTTCTGTTTGTAACAGAAAGGGCATTTTTATAAAGCCAGAAGTACTGAACCCCAAGCGCTGCTGAAGGCAGCACATAAACCAACGCTGTCAGTACTCAAAAGAGCATTTAGCTGCGGCGTGGAGAACAAGACACAGGTTTTGTTTTATTATAGGCCCCGCTGCAAGGTTTAGCCAATTAAGTTGCAAAATTAAGGCAATTAAGCAGTCAAACCTGATGCTGGAAGGCCTGTTTTACAGTTTAAGAGGTATTTTGTGGGTTTTAGCATCACAGATCAAAGCAGGCAGATGTAAATCCATGCAGAGCCGAAAAGATGCCTCAACAATGATGGAATTGTTTGGCAGCACCAACCGGTGTCAGTAAACACCAGGTGAAGTCCAGACAAAATACTCTGCCTGGAGGTGTGGAGGATATATCTACACAGCTTAACCAAAACTACCTGGCTCCCCCACCCATACAACAGGGTACTCGCGTGCCGACATCCCCAGAAGCAAATTCTTTCCTTAAGCTCACTCTGAAGCAACCTCTGTCCTTCTCTCCAGCTTTTCCATTTCTCATTTTCATTTAATTACTCAGAAAAAGAAACACGCTTCATACCTCCTGCGGCTGGTCGAAGACATTCTGAAAGTCGCCAAAAGGGGAGCCCGAAAACTCCCCAAAGATTTTTCGGAAAAGCTCTTCCGGATCAATCGATGGGCCAGTGCTCCAGTACTGCCGCCCAGCGCCAGCGCCGGCGCCAGCCGCCCCGGCATCGAAGCTGGCTGTGCCGTACGCGTCGTACTGCTTCCGCTTCACTTCGTCGCTTAATACCTTTGAAGGAAAAGTACGATTCCGTCAGGACACGGCAGAGATCCTGAGCACCTGGACAAGCAAAGTGGTGTCTCTTGGGAGAAGTCAAGGCTCCTGGCGTTATCTCCCCAAGTTCTCAAACCTTCCTGTCACTGGGAGGGATCCCAGCTCTCAGCAGCACAGGAATTTCTCAAAAGCTGCTTCTCTCTGGTGTCTCTCAGCTTGTCATCAGGAAAATATCAAAATCTTACTAATTTATAACAAGCCATAACTTATATAGCTGGTGGTTAATCGACCAGGTGACAGCTGGTGATGAAGAGTGCTGGAGTAAATATGAAAACCCAAGAGAGCAAAAACCAGCACAAGAAGATTTTTGAACAGGCTGAAGAGCAGGACAAAGTGGGGCTGGGGGAGCACAGCGGGCGGTGCCGCTGTCCTACACAGCTCCTACTTGCCAGCACCTTTTTTTGTTTTGTTATTTAAGATGACCAGTAACCCCCACAGCAGCGACTGCTGCTTCCATGCCTGTCACTCACAGCTAAGAAAGAGCACAAATCCAAAGAGCCCAAAACCCCACTCAGCTAAATCAGATACTTGGGCAAAGCGATCTCCTGGAGACAGAGCTGGGAGGGAGGCCTAAAGTGCAAGATGTGAAAAACGAGTATTTTACAGGCAATGCACACAAGAAATGTTTCCCCCCACCATCTACCCTGCAGTCTTTAGTCCATTTTATCACGATAAAACCCAGTGTATTACCTCGTAGGCTTCTGCCAGCTGAGAGAACTTCTCTTTAGCTTTTGGGTCATCCTTATTAGTATCAGGGTGGTATTTCTTTGCCAGCTAAAGAAAAGAATTCACAGACTCACAGAACGTTAGGGGTTGGAAGGGACATCCAAAGATCATCTAATACAACCCTGCAAGCGTTAGAACATTTGAGGCAGACTGAAATCATTTATCACACCTCACGTGCCGGCAAAAAAACACACCAGGCCGAGCCTGGCGGCCCTCTCTGTGTTTTAGGGAAGGAAAAGCCTCCGTTTTCCGTCACCAACCCAACGCTAGGACCTACGGGCGCCACTCCTGAACCTCTGCGTGATCCCGGGGTGTCCT